TCTCAGTGCTCTCATCTGCACTAGTATCTGAATGATTCTTTAGCCTTTTGGTTTTTAGTCTTTGTTTTATAGTGAATGGTAAATTATTGTTGGAATCTGAACTGTCTAAAGGCCTGCGTTTTAGATTTCTGACTTAGAGGGCTGAGAAGAGTCTACAGGTTCAGTTGAAATAGAATTATGTACATTGGACACTGTTATCCCTTTACCAGGAGGAACTTAAAGGTTCTTCTTTCACCGAATACGTGACGTTGTTACTTCTTGACGTTTTTAGGTTAGGTGTTCAAGAAAGCTTTGCCCAACGACCGTTTAAATTAAGGAGTCATCAGCAATAATCTATTTTAAACGACATTCCTATTTAAAGGGTAAATTCCGCATTTTCTAAACCCTGCTTTGAGATTCTCAACACCGCGCTCTCCCAAATTTGTGTATGCCGCCCGTTTCCCTTCATAGAGCGGAAATAGGCCGCATCCAAAGGCTGGAGGAGATTTGATGTATATGTTGCATAGCCGTATTACCTCCATATTTAGGTAGGAGCTGAGGTTGTCTCCAATCAAAATTTTACGACCCTCGTGTCGTATTAGTAAGGGAAATATTAGATTGATGAACCAATCCTCGAACACTACTGCTGGTACTATTATAACCAGCGTTTAAGGGACCATCTTCCGTCCAAGTTGACCAAAACCTCTTTTTTATAATTGATATACCCTCGGAATTTCCATATATCATTAGGGAAGTACACGCATTTGAAGAACTGCGAATCTTTTCTGGATACTTGGTCCCCTTTCTAGTAATTACTTTTGATGAGATTTGTCTTGTAATTATAAATATTGACTGAAGGAACATCTTCCAGCTCAGTTTGCAGATTATAAAAATATTTATTAATAGTTGCTTCATCAGTTGCTGCTCATGCATGACCAATATTTTATGAGAACCTTTGACTAGGTTCTGGTCTGCGCTTTAAAAATAAATTAACCCAATCGGGGCCTAGATAATTGTTTCTAAAACCAGGAACTTTTATTCCTTGCTTATCTTAGTAAGACTTGCCAATAACTTTCAGATCATCACCAAATGCAGATAAAGCAATTAATTGTCCAGACAATGACTTTTCTTTTTGATCCGGGAATACCTTCAGTTTACCAGGCACACGTGCATGCTTTCCATGAAGTTTATTCCACAAGGTATTATTTGATATTTGGTATTTTTTGGCTGCATTTTGAAGAGAAATCAATTCTCTTCTAATCGCGTCAAGAGTCTGTTGTCATTTTTCTTGGCTTGACTTTCGAGGCATTATTAATCTGAAAACAAAAACCTTGTAATAAAATATACATTGTATTGCCAGTGTAACTTTGATACACAATGTTTTTTAGATTTGTCATTTACTAAGATATGTGCTGTCTAACTTAGAGACATGTACCTCTACATTTTACAATTTTTGAAACAAATGTAAATATTTTTTTACACGTACACAAAACGTTTTAATTATGTTGTCAAAACTATGTCAGAATATAGCTTTTTAAAATGTACCTACCAGAAATCAAATGTTCATTTTAGTTTTTTGCTACAGAATAGAAAGTTTCTAGACGTTCGAAAAACACGTGTTTACACCTGGCCATTGCAATCTTTTAGATTATTACATTGAGTGGTAAAACGTTTTTCAAGATTAAAGTTTTTTTTATAAAAAAATTGCCGGGTCAGAAAGTAATGCCCAAGTCACAAAGTAACACCAGGGTGGTTAATTTCTAAATTGTTCACAAAAATGTTAGCTAGGAAAAAAGATAAACGACTATCCGTTGCCTATAAAAATCATTGATTAGAATTATATCTTGAGAGAGGCGAAAATTTACTAAAGTTAAAATTTGAGTTATGATGCCTGCATCATTGAGTTTTGATTTAATTATATCACCTGCTAGGGGTATAGTTTCAGATTAAAAAAAATATATAACTAACTACGAGCCCCTTCCCATTTCAGTTGGTCCACCTATTGAAATTTAGGAAATTCGTATTTAAAGATTAAAAATATAAATATTGCATGAACTTTCCAATTTTTATTCATTGAACAATATATTTAATATCGTTTAATCATAAAAAATATGTAGAAAACATTAAAATATTTATTTAATATAAAATTAAAAAAAAATAAACAAATAGTTGGAATCAAACGTTAATCAATTTTAAAGTTTACCATTGAGTAACGTCACCTTTATTTTTTATTACAGCTAAAATTCTTTGCGGCATGGTATTAACTAAGCCTTGGCAAAATTCTGGTGTAAATGAATCCCATATATCTTGAAGTTTTTGTTTAAGTTCAGGTATTGTTCTTGCAGGATGTTTTCGAAGTACCTTTTTCATCTCATGCCACAATGTTTCTATTGGTGATAAATCAGGACTACTAGAAACCCATTCCAAAAGTGGAACACCGAAGTCTTCCATCCATTTTAGAGCTTTTTTAGACGTGTGACACCCTGCTCCATCCTGTTGAAATACAAAATCTTTCCCTGATGTCAAATATAATTCCATAGTCGGTAAAAGTGATTCCTCCAAAATGTCCAAATATTTATTTGTATTTACAATTCCTTCAATAAAATGCAATTTCCCTATTTCTTTAGATGACACGCTGCCCCAGACCATGACCGATGCGGGAAATTTTACTTTTCTTTTGAGACAGTCTGGATGTAACGCTTCATGTTTTTTGCGAATAACTCGACTTCTGCTATCTCCAACACAAACTTCGAATCGGGCCTCGTCACTCCATTGTATTGCATCCCATTGATGAGAAGTCCAACTCATATGTTCTTTTGACCATCTTAATCGATTTTTTTCTGTTTCGCAGTTAGTAGTGGTTTTTCTTTAACCTGTAACAAAATTGTCAATTTTAAGCAAAAATATTTGATTGTTTTAGTGTCTTCAATCCATGTTTTTTATTGTTTTTATTATTATAAACTTACTTTGTAGGTCCCAAATCCCAATTTGCGAGCTTCTCTATGACATGAAGATCTCGAAATTCGTCTTCCAACAGCATCACTCCACTGAGCACTTAATTCAAGGTAATTAGCACGACGGTTAGTTTCAATAATTCTTCTCAATGCTCGTCTATCGGCATTTGTAATCTTGCTTTTTCTAACATGCCGGGGCTTTGGGCTGATTGAACCAGTAGTTTTGTATCTTCTAACTATATTTCTTACAATATATCGTGATAAATCTAATATATTTGCAATTTCCGAGTTCAATTTTCCAGAATTCCAATGTTTTATAACAAGAAAACGTATTTTTTCGTCAATGATTTTTCCTCTACCCATTTTATTAGACAGAATTAGCTTAAAAGAGGTTAAATTGTCTTGTGACAGTTATTTGCATTATTGTTTGTTATTTTTTCAAAGCTACCTTCTGTTTTGGTTTATTTTCTAACGCATTGAATTCAAGTTGAAATAATGCAATAATGCTCCATGTGTTAATAAATTTAAAAAGAAATAAAAAAATTGATGTTTTCTAGTTCTAGTTCTAATATAATTCTAAATTAATGCATTGTTAATTAATTTATGATTTAAAAAAGCATGTAATCTTTAATACTTTCTTATTGTCGTTATATAAAGAAAATATTAATAGGTGGGCCAACTGAAATGGGAAGGAGCTCGTAGTATTTAACAAAGTTAAAATATAGATTTGAAATTAAAAAAAATAGGTGCGCTTTGACGTAAATAGTTTGAAAAATATGCGTTTTAAATAGGTGTTTTCATCTTAAGCTGATAACACTGTATATTTAATAATAAATAATATTCATCATCAATAATTTGCAATCAGTATTAAATCAAAAACAAAACAATATGATTACTAAAATTACTTAATCAGCCATTTCACTTGAACCCTAGATGGCAATAAAACTATTGCAGAAAGTTAACACTCGAGCAAGCAATATAAAGCAGCAGGAATTTCAACACGATTGCGGCAACGATAATTGTATCAGGAATTTTACAAATACCTTAAATGTAACAATTTGCGGCTAATTTGTATGCTAGACTGACCGCCAGATGCAATTTTGAATGTCTAACTAAATATTTGTATATTGGATTTTATTGCACTTTAATGAAATTTTATTGTTGTGAAGTATGTAGATTTCTTTTTTTATATAAACTTTAATTCGTTTTTTCTTTTAGTATGCGAATATTTAGGTATGGTATTTCAAGCGTTTCGTTGAAATTTATCGTTTTTTATTAGATTAAGGCTTGTAGATTTCTTTTTTTATAGTTTTAAATAAATGTTTGTCAATTTAATGCTATCGCAATACCGAATCGTTGCTTCATTTTTTAATGTTTTAATTATTAGAGGTTCCATTTAAAACTATATTAGATCAGTCACGCGGTTAATGAAAAAATACAGGGTAGAGATGTCTTTGTTAAATGTCCATAATAGACTAATCACTTCTTCGTGCATTTTTGTATGAATGTGTAATATAATCAGCATACATTTTAAGCCATTTCCTGAATATTTGGTTTTGTACTATTTCTAAAAAATTGCAATAGCTTTTACTAGTACACCCCATAATTATTGTAGATCATATCTTAAGAGTAATTGATTCCTATGGTTCAAGCCTGATCCTGGGTAGTGAAGCGCCTGCATGCAGGATTTTGTGTGCGCCTCTTTCTTACACTAAATTCGGTATATACCTCGACATATGCATATTAGTGTGTTTCATTTTGTAAGTAAAAAAATTAAATGTAAAATGTTTGCAGACTTTGCTTACGCTCCGAGTGTTAGTGATATAAAAGATATGTATGCAAAATTACAAGATGCAGTCCCTTGTTTAGTTCGCTTGGTGACGACTATCTATGTTTTTGTTGTTCATCTTTGACCGATTCGTTATTAGAGCAATTCCTCTTTCTGCGGTATCATTCACTACCTTAAGAGCGTCCACTTGACTTCTTAGAGAATCACTGTAATATTCTGTCACGTTATGGATCCCAAACAATTCAAAGAATATTTTTGTTTTCTAGTGATGTAATGGCTCAGGTGTTTTCCTTCAAAAACAATCCGTCTAATCGTTTCATTTCATTTTTATTTGGAGGTTTGGTTTCTAAATGTTTAGTCATATTTTCCTTTTTAATCTGACTAATACGTTCATTCAAAAACACTAATCCTAAGTTTGTTTCTGACCGATACCACAGATGTCTCTTAGCAACAATAAGAACACTTTTATTGACGTCTATATCTGGGTAAATATTCAGAAGCTGCAGCAAATCCAAATTTTTCCAAAAGCGAACATATATGAGGCTGCCAAAATGTGCAACCCTTTTCATTGCTTTCAATTCTCGTTGAGGCATATTTAATTGTTTAGTGAAGAGAACAATTTTAAGTGCATAAATTGCTTTTGCCATGCACCTTGCTTGATGCAGAGCCCCTGAGATCCTGAAACTGAATTCGTCTTGAGACCAACCTCCTAGGTACAAAAGTGATAGCTGTAATAACTCTTTGTAGTCTTCTCTTTTAGGACATTTTGTAAGTAGGTAATCATTTTCATTAGTTGTTCTTCTATAGAGCCTTGAACGTGACATTCCTCATCCATCATTGTCATATATTACTTTTTATCAAGTAAAGTCCACATATTTTGGAATTTTCGAAAGATCTGGATGTCAGGACCACTTGATGGTATGTAACAACACTCCTTAAATACTCCTTTTAATATAAGTTCATGAGTGTGATAACGTCAAGCCAACCACAACAATGTTCGTCCTAATTCCCTTTCAATTCTGGTATATGCCCCTTGAATAAGTCCTGTATTAGACGATGTAGTATCAGAAGACATATCGAGGATATTGTAATTTAGCGCAAATCTGTGCACTTCCCGAATAACTACTTTAGCCATCTGGTCACCGGTGCCTTTCTGGGCAACAGGTACTCCAAGCAAATGCTTATAATCTTTGCCAGTCACTAGAACTGTAACTCTATCTTTTAAAATTTTGACATGCCCTTGGGCAACTGAGAGCAACAATTTATTATCTCAATGCAAGAGGAGGAGGAGGAGGAGGAGGATTTTCAAAAAGCATCTCCTCGATTTTCCTTGCTATTTTTCTTCTATTGACCACCCAAACTCGGTAAACGGTGAGTGGAAATACGAGAATGTTTAAAACATCGTGGCCAAGGCTCTTTGTAGTTGCTATAAAAGAGATGCTTGCCTAATAGAGAGTTGTTCTCAATCACGAGTAGACGTAAGTGTTTGTACCAAAGGTTTTAATCTAGGACTTTTTTCCTCAAGAAGTGATTTTACCTTTAGTCTGTTTTCCTCGAGAGCTAGTTTTCTGTCAAGTCTCTTTTCCTCGAGATATGTTTTTTCTCGATTCTTTTTTTCTCGAGAACTTGTTATCGATTAAGTCTTTCTTTTCGAGGTGGTTTTCTCTCTTGTCTTTTTTCCACGAAAGTTGGGTTTCTCTCGAGTCTTTTTTCATTTCTGTCGAGTTTTTTCCTTGAGAGGTGGCTTTGTCTCGAGTCCTTTTTCTTCGAGAGGTGGTTTTCTTTCCAGTCTTTTCTCCTAAAAAAGGTGATTTTTTCTCAAGTTTATTTGCTCGAGAGGTGGCTGCCTTTCTAGTCTTTTTGCTCCAGAGGTAGTTTTCTCTCGAATCGTTTTTACTCGAGAAGTGGTTTTCTCTTCAGTCCGTTTTCCTATCCTCTTCCCTAGAGAGGAGGTTTTAGAGTCTTTTTTCTTCGAGATGTGGTTTTCTCTCGAGTATTTTTCCTCAAGAGCTGATTTTCTCATTAGTTTTTTCCCTCAAAAGCTGTTTTTTGTCACGTCTTTTTCCTCGAGAATTGGTTTTCTCCCTTTTTTTTCCTCTAGAGTTGGGTTTTTTTCGATTTTTGTCAAGTTTTTTTTTTCTCGAGAGGTGTTTTTATCGCGAGTCTTCTTTTTGAGAGTTTTGTTTTCCTCAAATCTTTTTTTATCGAGAGGAGGATTTCTTTTGGGTCTTTTTTATTCAAGAGATGGTTTCCTCTTGTCTTTTTTACTCGAAAGGTGGTCTTCTCTCGCCTCTTTTTCCCTCGAGAGGTCATTTTATCTTTGTCTAGAGAGCTGGTTTTCTGTCCTGTCTCTTTTCCTCGAGAGGTCTTTTTTTTCGAGTCTTTTTTCTTCAAGAGGTAATTTACTCTCCAGACTCTTTTCTTCGAGAACTTGTTTTCGATCAAGTCTTTTTTTCTCAAGAGGTGGTTTTCTCTCTTGTCTTTTTCCCTCGAGAGTTGGGTTTCTCTTGAGCCTTTTTCCATTTCTGTCAAGTGTATTTTCCTTGAGAGGTGGCTTTTTCTCGAGTCTTTTTTCTTCGAGAGGTGGTTTTCTTAAGAGTCTTTTTCCTCGAGAGCTATGTTTTTCTCTAGTGTAGGTTTTTTTAAAGAAGATAATAAACAAAACAGAAACTTTCTAATTTTTTACGAAAATAAAAATTACTTATAAAATTTGTTTTATAAAATTATTGGATCGTTATATCTACCATTCTTAAAAAGTTATTCACTTTATGAAAAAACACTGTATTTTCAAAAGATGTTTATATCCTTTCTTTATATCTCTGTCTATAGATCTTTAATTTTCTCTCTACTTTATTTCTGTTATATTTATGTAACAAATTGAAAATTGGGTTGAGTAGAAACTGTTATGTTCAATTATCAAATATAATATTTCTGTGAAAGAAAATGAAAGTGAATTTTATATCAAAAAATAAATAATTATAATATATTTCTGATTTTCCGAATTTTAATTAAAATTAATATATTTTAAATAGTAACTTAATGAAATCCAATTTTGATATTATATAGGTACTTATTATAAATAAAAATTAAAAAGAAAAATTGTATTTGGAAACCTATTGAGGTTTTTAAAAAACTTGCGTCCAGTATTTTGATTTAAATTTAGGATATATATTTAAGGACTGAATTTTTGTAAATTTTGTATGAATTAATCCATATTGGTTTATATACTTAATTACTAATAATGTTTCAAAAAAATTTAATAAATATTAATAAATCGAGTGTTTTATTTATTTATCACAAGATCATAGTGTGGTTGAAAAATCACGCCTTCATTCAACTATAATTTTTTTGTAACATGGGATGGTTGAGTTTCCCATTTTGGTACAATCACTGTGCCTTCTGTTTGGTCTTTTTAATTTTAGTACTTATGCAAGAAATGCATCAACTAAGTAACAATCGGATTCTCGCACACATTAGATAAAAACACTTTTTTTATGATGAGTCATAGAGATTGTAAAGAATTAACCGTTGTATTACAATGTTTGAGACATATCAGTAGATTTAGATGTAATTATGTAATTAGGAAATCAGTAAGGTTATTTCCAAAAGCCTTAGTTTGAAGCACTACCGATTTTAAAGTGTTTGCAAAAACATATGGAGGTCAAACCAAATGTAAGACACTCAAATTCGTAAGTTATTCTTTTTTCCAAGTAGTTTCCTGATTTTTTATGTATCGTGATCAGATAAGAGGCATCCTTTAATTTAATTTTTGACATAAAATTGTCCTATAACAAAATATTCTGGGCAGACCTGAGATCTTCCAGTTTGAAATGCGAGGATCTATATTGTAACGGAGGAAATTACAAATTCGTTAAACTTTCCTGGTTTAAAATAAAGATATTCAACAAGTTTTAGGGATGATCAAAGTTACAAATCTACCATCGAAAATAACAGAATGTTTATGAGGCATTTTTAATTTTTACTCTTATATAAAAAACACCCTGTATATCAAACAGGAAACACTTCTGTCAGCCATAATTAATAATTTTTGACATGTGTGCCAACACAAAAAAGTTATACAATAAAATTCAAAATTAATAAAAAATTGGCAACTAATCTATTAAAAAATTGTAAGAAATTATTTACATTTGATTCTCGAAATATTTGAAAACATATTTTAAATATACTGACCTAAAATTCACCAACTTGTGATTTATTTAAGTCTCCTATTGGTCAAAATTTCTTCAATAGATAACTTGATGAAAGATTTGAATCTAATTTTGGTTACCAAGGGGTTTTGTTGAAAAAACAAAAAGGGTGGTGAATTGAATTTCCAAAGGGAAACTACGTTTCTTTTTTCTTTGTCCTAAAACATTTTGAATTTTTTTTATCTATTTCAACAAATATACACACAGAATCAACCTTAAAAGTAAGAATAAGTTGTAATTAGATGTCTGAAATAAAATTTAATCTAAACAAAGTGAAACGCGAGTTTTAAATCGAAAAGTAAAAAAAAAATACCTGTGTATGTAAGTCTAAGAAAATAAAACCATGGCAACCGATGAGTGACGTAGCAGCTCCTGGCGACGTTCGTGACTTGTATCCCATCCAAGGAGGCCGCTCACACATAAACTCCCAGATAGATCAACATAACCTAAAATAAAGAATCAACGATATCAAGAAGCTTTCACGGTCAAGAACTCTACCGAAAACAATTAAAAGGTATAAGACAATTATTAAACTGCTTAAACTAAAAACTAAACAATCACTTACCATTTATTTTAATTTCTTTTCTTTGTTTCCCATTAATTGTAAAAAAAAATATTTGTTAGCGGCCAGCGTCAATGTTTACGTTCAAGTTTAAATAATTTGCAACCCAACGAACATTAGCGCAGAGCAAACAAACTTTGCCTTTTCGCGCCCTCTTCAGAACCAGACTAGAAGCTTGCAAATTATTTACGTAGTAATCTTTTTAATTTATCTAGTAATTTTTTGAATGAGTGTGTTTTAGGAATGATAGATGGTGGTAGGTATTTAATAATTAGGAATTTTTATGTTATTGATATTTCTTTCAATAGTTATTGGTTTACAATAAAAATGTGTTTAAATGTTTTTTTTTTGTTAATTCTGTGTTTAATTTTTTTAAATAGATAAATAAATGAAAGGTAAATTCAAATTTAATAATATATTTTTTTTAAATAATTAAATTTATAAATAATAAATTATATTTTTCCATCACATACACAGTGGCGCCGGGCAATTATAAAATAAAAAATAATTCTTAAAACATTCTGTTATTAGCGATAGTAAATTAATGATTGGGGTTGTGTATAAATTAATAATAATATAAAATTTATCCACATGCACATACACCCCATATCAATATATTTGTTAAAGATGAATCTAGATGATAATTTCATTTGGGTCTTAAAAAATATGAGAACCAAACTAATTTTCTTTAGCAAGCAAACACCTGTTGCATTCTTTAGTACAAGTTTTTTTTTTAATTGAAGTGTGTAGGTTAGTGTTTTTTCTAAGAGAAAACAACCTTTGCTGAAAGCTCTTTTGTGTTTTAAAGATTAATTTAAAAACTTTCACATATCTTAGGACCTTCTTATCATTAGATAAGTTAGCCCACATATTTTACAAATTTATTCAGTCTACCAACAATCTCTCTCTACATTTCTTTCCTTCCCTAATAACTCCTTCTCCCCTCTCTGTTTTTCTGAATACTTGTTGGTTCGTCGTTTGAGTTTTGTATTTTTCCTGCTCTTTCTCTGGCCTGGTTCTTCAGTCGCTATTTAAAAGTAGGCGCCTGAAGTTTAAACACTGATTGAAATTGTTGTTTGCTTTTAGTTGGTGCCTTTAAATTAAATGTATGCCAGTTTTTTCAAATGCTTCGTCTGCCTTCCATATCTCTACAAGATTCTTTCCATAATGAAAAATCACATCGATATATGCTTTTTCTATCATATTTTTCACATTTATGTTTAAAGACGGATATATAAGGTGCCTACGATGCATATATTCTATGGTAAATATCTGGTAATACTTTTGTTACATTTGCATTTGTTTTGATGCATCTATTTCTGTTCCCTCCAAGCCTAGGTTACAGAGTTTCAATTAAACTTCCCATCACCTTTCAAGTTGGTTTTGCAGCATAAATAGCTGTCGGTTTTATTTGATGACGTGATTAGTCACCAAACTTTTTGGTTCGGGGTTTAAGGTGGGGGACCCAAGTGAAAGTATTTCAGATTTTGATTTCGCAAAGAAACTTTGATATTTTGCAATTCTCCAAATCATTTTGCAGACGAATGTTATGAATGACTGCACCGTTAACACATAAAATAGTATCCTCTGTATATTTATTTGTCGTCTAAATGCAAAAATTTACACATAAAGTGGTATCTTCTGCAAGCTAAAAATTATTTAAATAAAAAGAAAAATATTATTTTCCTACCTGTGCTCTGAAATTTTTCATTTCTTTTTTAATTTGTCATATTTTTGAGACGATTTGCGTTTTCGATAGTTTTTACAAATGTTTTTATAATCACTGGAATGTAGTAGTCGGTCGGAACGATGTGAATCACGCGACACAAAAATTGGTAATGAGTAATTTAGGCAGGCAGCGATATAGAATAAATTTTAAATCTGAACATGTGGGTCAACGGCGTAACATAGGTATACTACAAGGTTATCTTTATTTCCACTAACAAGGATGTGCATAATTAGTAATTTTATGTTCAATAAAATTTGTTGTGGTTAAGACTTACCAATTTTCATTTCCTTTATTTTTTTGTTCTCTTTTTTTACAGACACAGTGTCAAGGTACACGCTAACTTGTACGCTATTAGTTATATACACGCAAAACGTCTTGACAGAGTAGGTAAGCTGTATCTAGGCCGTTGATGTTTATGCCGGTCGGCGTTGCTAGGTATGGATTGAAATTTTCTGGTGGCGGCGAACCGCCACCCTATGAGAAGTCGTTGCTTCGTTTTCTTGTTGTCACGGCATTATTATTATTTGTTCATGTATATGAAATTTGCTTCTAAGGTTTATAAAATACTACTGCTAGTTACGGCGTAAATGAAAACAAACAAAACGCATTCACACAAATACCTCCCAACACAGCAATATGTCGTTTCGCGTGTATATAATTTTTTGATTTGTGTACACTTTTGCGTGTACCTAGCAACAGCGTTTTACAAAATAATGTACTGAAATAAATACGTAACGGCTGACAAGAGCGTTTTTGTCTATTGTTGGTGATTCACCCATTAAAATTGTGCTCGATGAAGTGTAATAATAGTACTACATGTGTTATATCTATTTGGACGAGTATACTCATATAATTTAGAACGAACTTCCTTACAGGTAAGTCGTTTGTTTTGCTAGTTTGCTAGTTTTCTCAAAAAACTTTATATCATTATGGTTATGGCAAAATTAAAATTTTTAATATAGAAGTATTTAAAATTTAAATAAAATACCCCCAGCAATTTTAAATTAGGAATTGCTAGTTAAGTAAAATAGAAAAATTCCTCCATCAGTTAAATCGTTAAATCTCAAGGAAAGCACACTAGGTACTTCTGAAGAAGGTATTTAAATACTCAATACCTTACTAAAAATTATTCAAAACTTTCCTAAAAGAAATTATGTAATTTTGAAAAAAATTCATACATTTTAAAGAACCAAAATATAAAAGAAAATTACAACAATCCTTTTTCTTAAATTTCCATTATCATATAAGACGAAGACAAAATTAAAATTTTTGTACAAAAAATTGTTTAAAAAAGGCATTATTTCAAAAAAGCAGTTTCTGTTATATATGTAATCCCTGCAATTTTAAAGCAGGAATTGCTATAAAAATAAACTTTAAAATATCCATTAAAGTGTTCATTTCAAACGTTTGAAATTTACCTCCTCTAGCATAGTGAGTATATCATTTTGGTCATGTGACATCGAGCAAACCATATCAATGGAACAAACGGAGTTTGGATGTATTAAAAGAACGGTATCGAGTAAAAAAAGTAAAACAAGATACCAACTTTTCAAACGCAGCACATCTAGGAAAACATCATTACTTCTTAAAAAAACATTGTTAGAAAGTATGTACAAATAAATCAAAAAAAACCCTATACTTATCAAACTACATTATGTCTTAAAAAACCAAAATGTCAAACAAAATCAAAAATCTGCTAGTCCTAGTTCATCCTTTTTTTTTCGCAAGAAATCGTAATCGCTTTGCTTATTTATACTTCTACATGAAAGCTGAAACAAGATATTCAATATTTTTAAAAGCAGATTTCTTTAAATATAACAAAAATCCCTGCAATATTGAAGCAGGAATTTTGATAAATTACTGCAATATTTACAGACAACTGCAATATTCCTTGTACAGGAAAGAACACACTGGTAGAAAGTTACTTCAGCTATTCACCGATAGATGGTGCATCTGGTATATAAGTTACAATAAAATTAAATTCCCGCAATTATTTTAATTGTAATTTGTGATGCACGATGCACGAATACTTACTAGTGACGTTAAAGTTGTTTATACACTATGAACCTACGCGAATATTAAATGCGTACATCTGTTAAATATGTAGAAAATTTAAATTAATATTGGTTTGTTATTCTTTTTTATAAAATATGTGTACGTAATTTTGTTAGTAAATTATATCTAATATTTAGGTAAACCAAAAATAATAATAATAATTTTAATGATTATTGCAAACGTGGAATAAATGTGATTGTTATTTATTGCAGTAAAAAAATATGTAAGTATTTGTTGAAAACAATTTACTGTGTCAAAGTCGTAGTCCTGCAACATGTACTTTTTAAACAAGTAGGTAACTAATATGCCTACAGTCTACAGTTTATATTTTATTGTGTGTCAAACGAATAAAGTAGTATAGTTCAAGAAATCTATTAGTATGGAAGCTTATGAGAGTTCTGGTTTAATATTAGTCAATGGGAAATAAAGAGATTGAGTTTGATTATTGTTATATTTTTAACAGACTTCTAAAAAGGAGAAGGTTCTCAATCCGTCGGAATATTTTTTTATGTATGTTCAGCGATAATTCTTTACTACGTTGTCCGATTTCTATGAATCTTACTACATACTTTAGCAAAGGTGTCTCTCAAAATTAAATTCGAAGTGAGCGACTCATACGATACAACACCTTTGTTATGTAGTAAAGCGGTCCTCGATGATCAGCTGTTTTTGTTTGATATAATAATATAATAACAGGACTTTATTCATCAATTAAAAAGGAAAATATACAATAACAGTAATTTATGCGAGGAATAACGACGAAGTTCAGTTTTCACTGTTTTTCAGCTTAACCTAACAAAAAAAGATAAATACAAAACATACAGGTTATTTATTATTATTTTTTTTTTTTTAGCTAAATTAATTTATAAATTCAATATATTAATATTCGTATCCTACTATCCTACAAGTTGCCATGAATTGTTGTTAATAATTGTATTACTTATGGTTCTATTCTTAGATACTCTTTTAGACGCTTCTTAAAATTAACTAAATTGTAGGATCTAATTTCTGGCCCAAGTTTGTTATATTCTTTGGATGCTACATAATAAAAGGATCTTTTAGGTGTTTAGATGTTTAGGTATGACTAAGGTGTTTCTGTTACGCGTAGATACCTAGGCAGCAGACTGACGACATTTTGACGACATTTTTTGGTAATTCTTGGTCATCGACGTCATGTTACCAAAAAATGAGGTGATTATGACGTCTTTTTGACGTCACAAATTCGACGTCAGTGTGACGTCAATTTGCTGTCACTATTAAATTAAGGTGTATATTAAACGTGATTTCAATACATTTTATTTATGTAAAATAATATGGCCTAAACAATTATTTTTTAAATCTGGCGCTTAAATGCATAAAGATTGTATGACACCAAGTGACACATGACTGTGTCTGTGGTTATCGGTCTGTGGAGTATGGCTCGTGTGTGTTCGAGCTAGCACGAGAACGGTATCGCAGATTGTTGCATCGTCCATGTATATTGGTGTGTGCATCGTGGATCGTGGCCAATGAAGTGGAGAGGGGTAGAATGATAACTGTCAATGAAAAAGTCTGGACACTATGCACAATTTCGTTTTGCCCATTTTGTAAACAAAATTCAGGGACGGTTTAACAACATTTTGTGCAACAATTATAAAATAGTGCATCGAAAAATAATTAACAAGTATAATTTAATACTAAATCGGAATAAAAGCATAAAAAATCATAAATATAAGCAAGATAACAAAGAATTGACGCCAAAAAATCTTACAACAGCCAAAACACAAACAAAAAACAGAGCTGAACATGAACATAATCGCTGAATAAAGTCGATCCTGGAATTTGTTTACAGTGCTTTAGGGCAACCTCTCCTTGTCATTTACGTGTGTAAGAGTGGAAGGCTGAATCACGCATAATTTCTACACTCGTGATGGATGCGCAGACGGTACCTTATCGTTCTACCCTCTCTACTTCTTTGATCGTGGCCCGTGTGCATTCAGGATTGTTGTTAAAAGTTAAGAGAAGGTCAGTAAAAAAAGTTATATCAGTATCAACCCAGCATAAGTTATTTTTATATCTATATTATCCTTATTCTTTAATGTTTTTTATCTTTTACATTCATATGATGTTTCCTAAAATGTTCCCAGGTTCGTGAAATAGTATAAAATGACGGCACTCATAGAAAATCATTGTGCCAAACCAAACTAATAACGAACAAGTTGGCCACATTTGGAGCAGTTGCATTTATATAAATTAATGTGTTTTGCCAATAACATTTCATGTATTTAAACTGTTTTTTCGTTTTAATTATAATTATTTCATTTTCTAATTTTGTTTTATTAAGTGACCCTTAGCCCGTATAGAAAAGTTACAAAGGAGTAACAATATCAAATGTAACGTCATGGTGACGTCTCAAATAACTATAAAGAATAACGACAAAGGTGACATTAAAGCAACGTTATAAGAACGGTTATAAAGACTACTAGGAAACGTCATAAACACGTCATATTTAGACGTGAAAAGGGCGTCTAAATATGACGTCATTTGGGCTGTGACATATTCACGTCATTTTACCGTCATTATCAAGTTAGTTTTCAGAGGATAAATGACGTCCTGTATGACAAAAATAAGATGTCATAATGACGTCAGTCTGCTGCCTGGGTAATGTATTTATATTTGAAAACGTTATTAACTTTATGAATAAATAATCGGCTTTTTGAAACTTTAATGTCTTATGAACTAATGTTAATAATTGAAGTGTACCGTAGATATTTAAAGATAACCATCCTGATTCGATCATTTTATGTGAAATATGATCAAATTTTCTTATGCCATATGCGAAACGCAAGCAACAATTCCGAATTTTTTGTAAACGTAGAGAGCCTTATCGAAGTAGCGCAGTTCCGTAAATAGAGTCACAATAAAATATCTTTGAAAAAATAAGAAATTCACAAAGTTTTATTTTAGTGTGTGTGGAAAGTAAGTCTCAAAACAGTAAAACAACTTTGCAACGATGAATTTACGTGCTTTGTAAATTGAATCTCGGAATCAATCCACAGACCTAAATTTTTGGCTTCATTTGCAAACTGAAGAACATTGCCACCAATTGTAATCTGCAATTGATCTACAGTTGATTTTATATCTTTTTTTGGACCAAATAACATTGTTGTAGATTTGGACGTATTTATTTTTAAGTTGTGAGCAGTAGATATATTAAATAAAGAATTCAAGTCTTCATTAAGATGAAGACTTGAATTATTATGCATTTGGTCAAAAAATACGTATTTTTTTTTCTCTGTTCGGCGGTATCAGTATCTGCATTTTTGATGATAGTGTCCTTCTTAAATTTTGTATTACCTCCGAAATAAGGGTAACCTTATCATGAATTTTTATCTCTGAAAAATTTAGCTTTAGCTAGGGAGATAAATCGTTTTCTAGAGCGAATATTTTAATACATACACTCTACTATATTATAGTTTTTGTATTTATTTTATGTAAAGATCTCATTAAATCAATAGTTTTTTTATATAAAAATTAAATTTATAATAAAAATCAGGATCGGATTTGTTTATTTCACATTTTTTATGCGTTTATTAAAAATTTATTAAAAACATCACCCTTAATCTATACATAACGAAATTTTTTAAAGCACGAAATAAACGCAATTACAATTATATTTCATTCCTTGTCCCTTATGAAACTCGCCCCAACGATACAGAGATGATTTTTGCCGGGGAAGAGTATATAGTAACGGAGATGATTTTTGTTGGGCCGAGACCCACGGGACCATCTGCCCCGCTCGCCCCCCACACGATTCGGACCCCTTTTGATTCCTTCAACCCTCGCTTCATCTCGGCCAGTGGCGGATGAAAGAATTAATACTTTTTAATGGGATTTCCGAGAGGCTTCTCGACCTGTTATTATTATTGTTATTATCTGCGGGAAAATGGAAAGAATCCGGTTGGATAATGGGAAAAATGATCGATGTTGTTTGTGGAAAGAGTCATCGTGAGTTTTAGTAGATGAAAAATAATGTACTTTTTGTTACGGGTATTTCATATGATGCCTTGATAGATATTTCAGAATTAATATATTAAAGGAATATGAGAAAATCAATTTTCTATCAAAAATATTATAACATTTATTTTTTAAATGGAACCCTGTATTATATTTCACTTTTAGAATTATTTGGTAATAGTTTATTTGTCCCTAAAATATTTTTAAAAAATATTACAGGGTTGTCAAGCAATTAATTTTTTGGGAAATTAGAGAATGATGCAGACAGAAAATAAAATTATCATAATTTAGGTAGGTTAGGTGATTTTAAAATTGTTTAAAATACAAGCTCATAAGATACCAAGATAACGAATGGTAATGATAGAACTGGTTTGTATTATATAGAGTGTTTTGAAACATGTAATAAAAGTATGGCTCATTTAAAATTCAATTTACTCAATTTCTTCAAATGTAACTCCCTCTATATTGTATTAGAATTAAATTTGTTATAAATTTATCTATCAAATAATAACACTATGTTAGCCTATTATACAAATACGCCATCAGTGCGTAATTGTTTGATATCTGTTTTATTATTAAAGTTACGGAGAAGTGTTTAATACAAAAGATGTAAGACCATATTTAACAATAATTATTCTTAAATGTGCAAGGTAGTCCAAGAATAAGGAGTGGATTAAACCAAACACCCAGTAAGTAGTTATGCATACACCCTGTAAGTAGTTATGCATACTAAATTTGATTGTTTTATATTTAGACTAACCAATTCGAATTTACAATTTTTTGCTGTATTGTATATAGGTGTGTCAAACCACGAGGTTATGTTATGTTGATAATGGGGTGTTAATACACTGCGACCTAAAAGATCTATTGTGCCCCCTTCTGTCGCCACTGCACTAAGGAAATGACTCAATGCCTATAGCGACCCTTCCAATCCTATTTTCTCAAGGAAGTGTAGGATTTGAAGTGGCTTCAAGTTAGGTAAGTCTCCCTCTTCTATTTGATATCCTCCTAGATATAGTGCCCTAGGATTCTGGAGTGCTACACATTCAGTTAGGATGTGAATGGAGGTTTCGTCCTCCTCCTCGCAGAATCTGCACTCACTATCCTCTACTACTCTCAGTTTACTTAGGTGTCCTTTTAGTCGGCAGTGCCCGGTAAGGATCCCTGTTACAATACTTAGCCTGTTCTTGCTCAGGCAGATGCAGGCTTCCGATCTTTTTTGGTTAT